AAAACCGGAAGTGGCGCTGTAGCTTAAGTGGTAGAGCGCTTGCCTTGAGCTGAAGAGCTGAGGGACAGCGCCCAGGCCCAGAGTTCAAGCCCCACAACCGACAAAAAAAAAAAAAAATCTTCAAGTTGGGTATAGTGGTTCACATCTATTATCCTAGCTACTCAGGAAGCTTGATTGGGAAAATCATAATTCAAGACCAACCCCCCATGCAGAAAGTTCATCTCAAACAATAAAAATATGGATGCAGATAGAAAGGGGAAACAAAGGAGGAGGCTACAATGCTTGATAAGAAATGCACTCATTATCTTGCCCATGTAATTGTAACCCCTCTGAACAGTATTTTCACAATTAAAAAAAAATATGGATGCAATGATGTATGCCTACCACATAGTCACATAGAAAGTATAAGTGGGGGGGCTGAGAAGGTGGCTCAGTGGTAGAGCACTTGACTTGCATGCCTGAGGCAGCACCACATAAGCAAAAAGAAAAAAGCCTGAAGTGGCGCTGTGGCTCGAGTGGTAGAGCGCTAGCCTTGAGCTGAAGAACTGAGGGACAGCGCCCAGGCCCAGAGTTCAGGCCCCACAACCGGACCAAAAAAAAAAAAAGAAAGTATAAATGGGGGGCTGGGAAGGTGGCTCATGGTAGAGTGCTTGCCTTGCATGCATGAGGCCCTAGGTTCGATTCCTCAGCACCATATAAGCAGGAAAAAAAAAAAAGCTGGAAGTGGCGCTGTGGCTCAAGTGGTAGAGCGCTAGCCTTGAGGTGAAGAGCTGAGGGACAGCACAGAGTTCAAGCCCTACGACCGGACCCCCCCAAAAATTTTTTTTAAATAATAAAAAAATTTTAAAAATAATAAAAAAGTTTAAAAAAAAAAGAAAGTATAAATGGGAGAACAAGTTAGATAGAGGAAAAAAAAGACACTATTTGAAAAACAAAACAAAAAGGGATGAGAGATGGCTCAAGTGGTAGGCGCCTGCCTAACAAGTGCAAGGCCCCAAGTTCAAACCCCAGTACTACTACTTAAAGAAAAAATAATGATTATTCATGTTATTAAAAAATGTAATAACAGGGCTGGGAAGGTGGCTCAGTGGTAGAGCGCTTGCCTTGCATGCATGAGGCCCTGGGTTCGATTCCTCAGCACCACATAAGCAAAAAAAAAAAAAGCCGGAAGTGGCACTATGGCTCAAGTGGTAGAGCACTAGCCTTGAGCTGAAGAGCTGAGGGACAGCACCCAGGCCCAGAGTTCAGGCCCCACGACTGGACCCCCCCCCAAAAAAATGTAATAACATAACAAAATATCAGGGACCTGAAGAAATGATATAATGATTAAGTTAATCCTAAGTGAAAACAAAAAGACTCAGTGATGGGAACCTGGTACAGTGGCTCATGGCTGTAATTCCAGATATTAGAGAGGCAGAGATAAAGGGATTGCAGTTTGAAGCCAGTCCGGGCAAAAAGTTGTTGAAACCCCCATCGCAACAAAGAAGCTGAGCATGGTGGCTCACACTTGCCATCCCAGTTATGTGAAAGCTGTAAGTAGGAGGACCACAGTCCAAGCTAGTCAAGGGGAAAACACAGGAGATCCTACCTGAAAAAAAATAACTAAAAAGCAAAAGGCGGGTGGAGGTGCGGCTCAAATGTAATAGCTCCTGCCTGGCACTGGTGCTCATGCCTGTAATCCTAGCTACTCAAGAAGCTGAGATCTGAGGATCGCGGTTCAAAGCCAGTCAGGGCAGGAAAGTCTGTGAGACTCTTATTTCCAATTAAGTACCAGAAAACCAGAAGTGGCACGGTGACTCAAATGGTAGAGCGCTCGCCTTGAGCTGAAGAGCTCAGGGACAGTCTCCAGGCCCAGAGTTCAAGCCCCGACCAAAAAAAAAAAAAAGTAATAGTCCCTGCCTAGTGAGCACAAGGCAGCCCTGAAGTTAAACCTGATCCTGCTCCCCACCCCCAACCGCCCGCAAATAAGAAAACACTTGGGATATATTGTCCATAACCAAGTGAAATAAAGTTTATGAAGAGGTAAGTATTTTTTTTCTGTTTTTATAGATATTAAGATGCTCTTTGATTGCATAGCTTTTTAAATAGACTAGGATAATCAAAAGAAAGTATGTGAAGGATTCCACTAACAACTGATTATTTCTTTCATAATTAGGTATTTAAGGACTAATGTCAGCTGTCATGAAGGTTTTGCGGGAAACCCATTGCCCTGTCTGTGAGCCCCTGAAATGCATTCTGGGACAGCATACCTGGCCTTTGCAGCAGAGGTCTTCTCTCATGACATACCTCTTCCCTTCCGGTACCCTAAAGCCCTGTGGACCTCTAGACTATTCTCTTTCTCCATGGCTTCCTCATGCCCCTGCCACCCTACATTCCCTAGCACCCTCCTCCTACTAGTCAGTCCCCATTCTTACTTGGGTCTGGAGAGGTAGAAACATTGTCCTCTAGAGAGTCCTTATTCTGGGTCCTAGGATTCATATCTATGGAAAGACAAAAACAGCTTGTTTAAATGAAGTTTTCTCTGCAAAAGAATTCTAGAAGTTCTGGCTAATAAAAAAAGGAACCAAGTACCAATTCTGAGATGAGTATTTCAAATGAAAGTAAGTGAATGGAAGAAAACATTGAGTAATCTCAAATTGGAGACTGAGCCAGATTTCAACTCTGAGGGTATCAACACTACTCTGCTCAATGAGACCTTCAACACAACATTCCACTACTTATTTTAAGAAAATGGATGCACTCTAAAGTCTTTTCAGCTAATTAGAGCAATCGTTAGTAAATAGAAACTGACCTATTTAAATGTAGTATGCTCATCATTTGCTCTCATTTTCTGGAATTCTACTTCTCCCAATCATGGCTTTCTAGAATGTGATCTTAGACACCAAAACTGGCTACTTTAAACAGATGAATGATCTGAAGATCAAGGTTCCAAGCCAGCCCATGCAGAAAAGTTCCGTGCGAGTTTTTTTTTTGGTCAGTCGTGGGGCTTGAACTCAGCCTGGCACTGTCCCTAAGCTCTTCAGCTCAAGGCAAGTGCTCTACCACTTGAGCCACAGCACCACTTCCCCCATGAGATTCTTACCTCCAATAAACCACTCAAGAACCAAAAGTGGCGCTGTGGCTCAAGTGGTAGGGTTCTAGCCTTGGGCACAAAGAGGCTCAAGAACAGCAATCAGGCCCAGAGTTCAAGCCCCAGAACAGGCAAAAAAAAAACCAACCAAACAAACAAAGAACAGTATAAAACTGACACATTAACTACAAAGTTAAATGATACAGTAAAAATACCCTCAGCAAACCTTGGCTATCTATGAAAAGAAAGCTGAAGAGGGTGGGGGGAAAGGATTTATGAGAACTTGTGCTTTTTCCTCTAAATATAAGAACTAATATTCATAAATTCCTTGTGAAATCTTTGGTGGGGGGGGAAAACAAGCTACAACCTATGAGAAAGTATTTGAAAATTATATTATCTTACAAGACTCATATCCAGAATATGAACAAAAGTCTTAAAACTCAAGAGGAAGAAAATGAACAACCCAAAAAGTAAATGGGCAGATTGGTGTAGGCTCTCCAAACAGCATATAGAATTCTAATGAGCACATAAAAAGATGCTTGGCCAAGCGCTAACGGCTCATGCATGTAATCCTAACTACTCAGAAGGCTGAGATCTGAGGATCCAAGTTCAAAGCCAGCCCAGGTAGGAAAGTATGTGAGATTCTTATATCCAATTAATCTTCAAAAAGCCAGAAGGGAAGCTGTAGCTCAAGTGGTAGAGAGTGCTAGCACTAGCTCAGAGACAATGCCCAGGCCTGAGTTCAAGCCTCAGACTGGCATTTACACGCACGTGCACGCACACGCACACGCACACGCACACACACACACAAGTACTACATATTACCAACTAGGGCAACTGTGACTCCTCAGTGCTGTCTCTAATAGATACATACACACATCTTATTTTAAGGAAAGAGCAAGTTAAAGAAACACTGAAATGGCTTCTAGGAAGCCACTTACACACTGCTTCCATGCAGACTTTTGGTCTGCTTCTGTAATGGCTCTGCTTTTGAAACTTTATTCCATTAGAATATGAAGAACCCCAATAACCAAGAGGTGAAAGTGAGAGATGATCCATAACTTTGCTCAAACTCAACATCTAGAAATGAATCCTCATTCTTAGAGGTCCAAGCCAAACATACAACATGAGGAGCCAGCTGAGATGTCATCTCAGTTCTTCCCGTCAACATCTGTCCAGAGTTGAGCAGTCTGAATGTGTTCTCTGATTATAATCATCAAGACCAAAAATAGGGACTTGGTGTGGGGTCTTCAGGTTGACACTCAAACTTAGATCCAGAAGCGAGTGCTGTAGAAAGTTGTTTCTCCTCTCTGGGCTACAGAGATGGCACTTACTCATAGAAAACTGAATCCCCTTTGGATGAATGAATGAAAGGACTTTTCCTCTATCCTCAGTAAACTCAGATTTACTTTTTCTTCCCTTTATTTGCCAGTACCACAGACTGAACTCAGTGCCTTTTTGCTAAGCTGGCACTACTGCCAGCCCAGGTTTTGCTGGTTATTTTGGAAATAGTCTCTTGGCCCCAAAAGACAATTTTCTAGATTTCAGCCTCCAAAATATCTAGCATAACTTAACTGGCTTCAACCACTGGTACCTGGCTTTGATTTACTTTTAACTTTAACACCCCTGACAAATCTGTTTCATGCACCAAATAAATATTCAATACAAAACACCAAAATGCAGAATCAGAGTCTTATCATCAAAGAGAAAGAAAATATGGCAATACTTTGTTTTCTTTTTCAAAATTATCTGCTTCTAATGAAGAGATTGACATGAACAAGTCACCTAAACTGGTATTCAGTTAAAGACAGAAAGGATAGTAACCTGGGGATGTGGCTTGGTGGTAGATGTGTGCTTATTAACATGTACAAGGCCCTAGATTCAATCCCCAGCAGTAAAGGAAAACAAAAAAGATATGTCTGGGGATGTAGCTCAAGAGACCTGGGTTCAGTTCTCAGTACCACAATAAAAGGAAGGAAGGAAGGAAAAAGTAAGGAAGAAAAAGAAAGAAATTAAGTGGGCTGGGAAGGTGGCTCAGTGGTAAAGTGCCTGCCTTGCATGCATGAGGTCCTGGGTTCGATTCCTCAGTACCACATAAGCAGAAAAAGCCAGAAGTGGCACTGTAGCTCAAGTGGTAGAGTGCTAGCCTTGAGCTGAAGAGCTCAGGGACAGCAGCCAGGCCCAGAGTTCAGGTCCCATGACCAACAAACAAACAAAGAAAAAAAAAAAAGGAAAAGGAAGGAAGGAAAAAAGGGAAGGGGAAGGAGCATAAAACCATCTGCCTAAACCCACCAACTGCTGGGCAGCACAGTGAAAAATAATTGAAGAGTCCAACTTGAAGCCCCCACCCACAGTGCTGAAAATGAAATTCCACAAAGCCAAGAAGGAGAACCACAGACACTACTCCTGTGAATCATGACTCATACATGAGTCAGGCCCAAATGCAGGAGAGTCTGAATCACAGTCCAGTACCTGTGGTGTACAAACTGTCCAAGCCATGGGAGGTGAAGGCAGGGTCGAAGGTGAGGTTTCCTGTGCATTTTCTGTTTGAGTAAAATGTTCATTACTTGTGTATTTAGACTCATAATATCCCAAAACAGGGAGGTTATATAGCAATTTCATCCTAAACAAACCCAATCTATAATCCTGATAATAATTCTGTAGATGTTTGTGTCTATTATGCAGATGAAAAACATAAGGCTCAGTAATGTCTGAAAGCTCAACTCCAAAGGCCAGGATTACAGGTCTGAGCACTGAGTCTGAACCAGGTGAAAGTAAGATTCTGAATATATCTTAAGCAAGATCTGACATTAACTGGTCATTGGTAATAAAAAAACAAATAGGATGGCTTCTGTGGTTCATCAGCATAACTGATCAGGTAGCCTAGGATCAAACTGGGGCGCTCAATTTCCATGTGGCTATGGCCACTTCTTGACGATCCTTGATCTCTTTGAAAACACATGCTGTAGGTTATAAGGAGACTGGACAAGGATAAGACCCCATTTTACTACCCTCACTAGAAAAATAATCCAAGGAACTCACAACTTTTAAGAAGCTAAACATTCTAGAACATATATAGACATAGTTAAACACTCAAGAATCAATGGTTCCCACTCAGGAGGCTGAGATTTAAGGATCAGTTTGAAACCAGCCCAAACAAACATGTAAGACTTTTACCTCCAATTAACCAGAAAAAAGCTGGGACTGAGGGCTTATGTAACAAGAGCACCAGCCTTGAGTGAAAAATACAGACAAGAGCTCAAAGGCCCATAGTTTAAGCTCTAGTAACAGCACCAAAAACATAGAAATAAATACAAAGCATTCAAATTCCAATTAAACAATAATTTCATGGGTCATTAAATGCTTCTCAAGTGATAGTCTTTTTTTTTGTCAGTTGTGGGGCTTGAACTCTGGGCCTGGGTACTGTCCCTGCGCTCTTCAGCTCAAGGCGAGCGCTCTACCACTTGAGCTACAGCACCACTTCTAGTTTTCTAGTGGTTTATTGGAGATAAGAGTCTCACGGACTTTTCTGCCCGGGCTGGCTTTGAACTGTGATCCTCAGATCTGAGCCTCCTGAGAAGCTAGGATTACAGGCGTAAGCCACCAGCACACGGCTGATAGCTGTCTTAAAGTAAAAATTTATAAGCCAAGCAAGCACTAGTGGCTCACACCTGTAATCATAGCTCCTCAGGAGGCTCAGATCTGAGGATCATAGCTCAAAGCTACCCTCCCTGGGCAGCAAAGTCCATGAGAATTTTTTTTTTTTTGCCTGAACTCTGGGCCTGGGCACTGTCCCTCAGCTCTTCAGCTCAAGGCTAGTGCTCTACCACTTGAGCCACAGAGCCACTTGTAGCATTTTCTGCTTATGTGGTACTGGGGAACTGAACCCAGGGCCTCATGCATGGAAGGCAAGCACGCTACCACTGAGCCACCTTCCCAGTCCTCCATGAGACTGTTATCACCAATTAAACACCAAAAAGCTGGAAGTAGAGCTATTGCTCTAATGGTAACATGCTATCCTTGAGTGCACAAGCTCAGCGACAGGACCGAAGCCCTGAGTTCAAGCCCCAGAACTGTCCCCAAAATAAAAATGCTGAGGGCAGAGGAAGCAGGAGGCTTTGAGTTCAATCCTCAGTGCCACAAATAAAAGGGAACTGAGTATATCCTAAACAGAGGGATTAGACTATGAAAGGAATATGGGGACATAGTTCTTTTCAGAAGCCATAAGCAATAGCTGGAATAAGAACTATGCTCATATATATTAATGACAGTAACTCCTAGTTGATGAGCACTCTCCATGTATGTCCAGCACTGTCTTAAGCTTTTATATGGGTTGTCACATCTAATATTCCCAAGTACCCTCCCCTCAGAGAAGAACTTGATACACACAGGGATTAGGTTACTGGCCGAAGGGCCTCACTGCTCATTAGAAGTGGAGGCAGGCCTCACATCCTAAGATTCTACAGGCAGCCCTTTACCTACATGTAATGCCATGTTGAAGTGGAGGCAAGTGAAGATACAAAGGGAGGCAGGAGCCATGTGATGGCTGACATGACAAGCCAAGAAGAGTCTCTGGAGGGTTTAATATGTGGGAAAGAGAATTGGTCAAAGTCACATTTGGAAATTACTCCTCAGTGACAGAAGATGAATCAGAGGAGATGAGAACAGAGTCATCATTTAGCAGGTAACAGCAATAATCCTGGCAGAAAACAGAACTTGGTAACATGCATCTGTAAGCTCAGCATTTGAAAGTGGAGGCAGGAAGGACTGAAGTTGGAGGCTGGCCTGGGCTGCATAGAGTTTAAGCTAGCCACAGCACCATTGTGATATGCTGTCTCAATCAATCGTTCAATTAATCAATTGATGATCAGTCTTTGCCAGAAACAAGTGAGGCCTGAACAAAAGCTGTGAGAAAAGAGCTGAAGAAGCAACGAAGATAAAATAGCAAACTGAGGGAGGATGAAGGGAAAAGAAAGGTTGGAGAATGATGAGACATAAGGTTAGTAGACAGCACACTAAGGATGAGGCACCCAAGCAGAGAGGTTCATTAAGTAAGCAGACTTAAAGCTCAGGAGTTCAAGAGGCAGAAGGTGGAGTTACAGACCCTGGTTACAGTAAATGCTTTCTCAACGTGTGTGTATGCCAGGAAACCATAGCCAAGAGGATATGATGGTGTCATTTGATGCTCTGCCCTAACTATCCCCAAACAAGCCCTCTCTGAAAGCTCACTCTTCCACACAGGAAATCATAAAATTCCAAAAGACACATCCGGTAACGCATCTGGTCTACTGACCATCTTTGGTAGATCTCATGCTGCTAACCATCCAAATCTGTCATTAATTCCCTCTCCCTGCTAGGTCACCAGTGAAACTAGCTTAAGGTGTAGACCAGGAAGCCCAAAAGCAACCCTCACAGAGCAAGTCTAATCCCCAAAAGTTCAAGTTCAAACTTTAGGTTTCCTAACAAAAGGGTCCTTTGGTTGAGCAGAGCAGTCGAAATGTTGCCTTTGTGACATTTGGAAGATACTTTAGAGTCTGGACAGGTAGCATTTGAGGCACCCTGAGTGCGTGGGGCAGGAGAGCTCAGGGAGAATGAGGCATGGGAAAGAGCAGCCAGGGAGAGAATAAACACTGCCGTTGTGGGTGGATTGCTTGATTAAAAGCATACAGGCAGGGCTGGGAAGGTGGCTCAGTGGTAGAGCGCTTGCCTTGCATGTATGCGGCCCTGGGTTCGATTCCTCAGCACCACATAAGAAAAAAGAAAAAAGCCGGAAGTGGCGTTGTGGCTCAAGTGGTAGAGTGCTAGCCTTGAGCTGAAGAGCTGAGGGACAGCGCCCAGGCCCAGAGTTCAGGCCCCACGACCGGATCCAAAAAAAAAAAGCATACAGGCACTACTTTCTTTGCTTTAAGCTTCTTCATAAAGCTGCAACATTTGATATAGAGGGGGAAAAAAAAAAGCAGAGGGTGGGGAAAGTCCCCCCTCCCCTCTGTCTCTGACTTGTCCATTGCCCAAATAATTAGTGTCCTCTGGGAACTAAGTGTATCTTAAAGAAAGGCACTTATCCTGAGTACAAGTTGGGGAGGGGCAATTGGGAATAAAATTCCACTGGGGGGGGGAACCTTACAAAAAATTATTTATCTTGGGGCTGGGAATATGGCTTAGTAAGCTCGGGGTTTGATTCCTCAGTACCACATACACAGAAAGAGCCAGAAGTGGCATTGTGGCTCAAGTGGTAGAGTGCTAGCCTTGAGTACAAGAAGCTCAGAGACAGTGCCCAGGCCCTGAGTTCAAGCCCCAGGGTTGGCAAAAAAAAAATTTTATACACACACACACACACACACACACACACACACACACACACACATATATTTATCTTAATAACAGACACTACTAAAAGGACACTACTCTAAAAGGAGTACTTGCTTCGATCTGTACAAACCTATATTCCCCTATACCACTAATGGCACTCTTGAGGGTAGCAGTCTCAGTCAGGATACTTGGCTACCGGTGAAAGAGATTAGATTAGTATCATCTTTCCATCTGTGGGCATTAAGTTGCCTGGGTATAAAATATATCATGCATTTAGATTTCCCTACAGGGATGATCAGATGTCTCATCTAAGAGATATAAATAGATAATAGATATAAAAGTGTTTCAGCAAAGAGTAAACACCAAGTTCATACTCCACCACCCATGATTTGTACTTGAAATCTTTTCCTCCCATTCTCCCAAAGCAAACTGTACCCTTTGAGGCTGAGATGCACCTCTCTAAGCCACCATGTTACCTTCTCCTTTCTGAATAACTGAAACCATGCCCCTTTGGGCCTCTCCTGATTTAATGAGAATGGGCTTCTTCCCTCACCCCCAACATCTAAAAATTCCTCTAAGACAGAGACCACTCCTGCTTGGTCCATATTACCCTCAACACCCACAGCCCTCAATCATGACTCCCCCGCAGAAGAATGGTAAATGTGGCCTGACCAACATGTTCTCAGCTAAAAATGAAATGTGCAGCCCATTTATAATTCCATGCATTATACAGCACTGCTTCAAAATAGGTCACCCAAAATTGAGGCTCAAATGATCCCAAAATAGACATGGCCCTGCTTCTCTGGCCCTTGTGTCACTTCTAAATGTAAGCCTGCCCTGAGCCTCCCAATTCTATTACCTCTTGGATGAGTTACCTGCACCACTGTTGCTAAGCAGGCTGACAGAAAGCTCTTCCGTTGCACTGAAGTTCAAGAAAGACATGCCGTCACCAGGCTGGCGGGTAGTGCTGTGCCTGCAGAGAACAGAGCCCAGCCACTAGGCTTAAAGCACATCATCACCTCTTTTTCCTGATTACCCTGTACCCTGGAGGGAAAGGACTCATGAAAAACAAGCCTGAATATTTAGCTACACAAGCTGGCAACCCTTGGTTAGTTATGACTTAAGACATCAGGTGGTGATGCGCTGTGTGCCAGCTTTAGCCTTCTCCCTGGTACCCTGGTTGCTTTCCCACTGTCATGTCAGATTACTTGCCTTTTGTCTGATGGCCTTCCTACTACTAATAAGAAAGGATGCGGGGTGCTGATGGCTCATGCCTATAATCCTAAATTCTCAGGAGATCCAAAGATTGCAGTTCAAAGCCACCCCCGGTAGGAAAGACCATAAGACTCTTATCTCCAGTTAACCAACCAAAGAGCCAGAAGTGGAGCTGTGGCTCAAGCAGTAGAGAGCAAAAGAGTCAAGGACAATGCCCAGGCTCTAAGTTCAAGCCTAAGTACCAGTCAAAAAAAAAAAAAGGGGGGGGGCTGGGAAGTTGGCTCAGTGGGAGAGTGCTTGCCGCCCATGCATGAGCCCCTGGGTTCAATTCAGCACCACATAAGCAGAACAAAGCTGGAAGTGGTGCTGTAGTGCAAGTGGTAGAGCGCTAGCCTGGAGCTGATGAGCTGAGGGACAGCGCCCAGGCCCAGAGTTCAGCCCCCACGACCAACCAAAAAGGAAAAAAAAAAGCATGTGAGGTACTTGAATAGATATACCAAAGTTAATATGGCAGAATAGGGAATAAGGCCAGGCTCTGTTTAGTGTCCTTGTCCATATGGCATATTTGAAAGAGGGACCAAAGACTGCTCTTTGCAAAGTGTGTACTAAAGTAACTCAGGAACAGAGAGTCAGGGCTGGGAAGGTGGCTCAGTGGTAGAGTGCTTGCCTTGCATGCATGAAGCCCTGGGTTTGATTCCTCAGCACCATATAAGCAGAAAAAGCTGGAAGTGGGGCTGAGGCTCAAGAGGTAGAGCACTAGTCTACAGCTGAAGAGCTGAGGGACAGCGCCCAGGCCCAGAATTCAGGCCCCACAACCAACAAAAAAAAAAAAAAGAAAGAAAGAAAGAAAGAGGAACAGAGAGTCTGGGTATTACCTGAGCTCATGTTTGTCAAGGCTTAAATGACTTTCTTCTTACACTAACTTTTAGCTGCCTTGTAACACATTCAGAGCTCTGGTTCTCAATGAGTTGTTTCTATAAGCACAGGCCTTGAGAAATTCTGAACTCGACAGTGTAATTTCTCAATGACCAAAATGATAATAGTAATAGAAAGCCTGCCCAAAGCAGCAGTATGAACCACATGCCTCAGCACACCAGACTCCAACTCTTTTGTTCTCTCATTTTTCATCTTGTTTGAGGTTTGGAAGAAATCTTTGCTTGAGGTTTACAAAGTGTAACCTCAACATATAAACGTAAAAAGCAGGGCCTAGATTGATAATACAGGCAAAAATGTCTGGTTGTTTGTCTTGTACTTTGCCCAGGGACAGGACTGACACTATTGACAAAGGAAAGCCCAGATCTCATCTTCTCTTTTCTTTGTCAGCTGACTGTTTGCACATTGTCTTGGCTTTCAAAGAGTGTTCTCAAGTTACCCTCCAGAGCCCTGTGCACGTCCTCACCTTCCAGCAGCTTCATGATATGCTAACTCCAACAGCTCTGCAGAGGAGTGAGTTGGGTCCCTTTGCCCGCTGCCCTGCAGCTCCGCCATATTCTGCCGGGTCTGATGATGAATCTGGATGGCCTCTCCGGATGGTCCTACCCAGACAAAGAACCTCTGAGCATTGTTCCCACCCATAGCTAGGGCTGCAACTGACAGCAACCTTCCATGTTTCCTGCTGCTGGATACAGGTGTCTGAGATAATGAAGAGCACACTGCAGAGGAACATTATACAGGGGACTCCCTGGCTGCCACAAAGGACACTTCCTCCTCCAAGCAGGACCCATCTATCAGAGGCCTACTGTTTATCATTCTATTCAGTTTGTGAAGAATATTATAGCAACCAGGAGCCCATGACTCACACCTGTAATCTTAGCTACTCAGGTGGCTGAAATCTGAGGATTACAGTTCGAAGCCAGCCTTAAGTCCTTAAGACTCTTATCTTCAATCAGCCACCAAGAGCTGGAAGTAAAACAATGGCTCAATGGGTAGGCTACTAGCCTGGAATGAAAGAGCTAAGGAACAGTAAACAGGCCCTGAGTTTAAACCCCAGAACCAGGCTAAGAAAAGAAGAAAAAAAAAGAATATTGCATATTTTAGGGGCCTCTGTCTCAAGTATATCAAAAGAGACAGAGATATTGTGGATAAACACAACTATAGAAGGGTTAAATCAAAGTACACGAGAAGGAAACATCACATGATTCTGTTAATACTTAAGAAAATAACAAGTATGACTCTATGAAGCAAGAGATATATAACTGCAGAGTAGAAGAGATCAGAATTAGTCATGTGCAATAAAACGAGCTTCCTAGAAACAGAGACATTTTTGAATTATTGAACTTAAGAGGGATTGAAGGAAAGGCCATCTGAGTAGAAGAAATAAAGGTATGCAGGAGACCAAGAGAGCAGGTGACAAAGGCAAGAGCCTGTGAAAATGGAAAGGAAGAGACACAAGGCTGAGTTGCTCAGCAAAGCGTCTTTGGATTTAGAGGGTTAGCCAGGCAATAGGATAAACCAAGTCAACAGTGGTTGGAGATTGTATCTTACTGATGACATGAAGCGGGAAGGACGAAATGCACAGAAGCAGGAAGATCTCAAAGGAAGAGCAACCAAGAGAAAAAGATACCAGAAAGAAAAGAGTAATAATAATTAAAGCAAAGATAAAGGGGCAAGAGTGATTTGGGAACCATACCCAATTATAGCCAAATGAACCAGCTTGGGTTTCTCATTTATTTAACTTTTAAACAGTAAAAACAAAAAGTAAGTACAAAATGAAATAACCAGACATTTCTAAGTCTTCAATAGGATGGTCTCAATGTTTAAAAAAAAAAAAAAAAAAACCTGTCCTTACAGTTAAATGTATCTGTTCTTTCCAGGCTCAGCAAGAGCCCATTAACTGAAGTTTAATTTTAGCTACAGCTTTATGAAACCTTACTGCCATCTTCTTAAGGACAGAACGGTTCAAAAAGGATGGGCTGAAGGAACTGTGATTAAAAATAACTTTTTCTTCAGTTGTCAGATACCTTTGAGAGAAAACAAAGCAACAGAATTATATAACCAAGACAATAACATAACTATTCAAAAAAAAAAACAATGGAGGGGAATGAGCATCAGTTAAGTCTTAAGATAAAACACGGTCCTTTTCAAACAGAAGAAGAAGGAAAAAAAAAAGAAGTTGTGGGCTGGAAAGGTGATGGTAGAGTGCTTGCCTTGCATGGATGAGTTCCTAGGTTTGATTCTTCAGCACCACATAAGCAGAAAAAGCTGGAAGCCCTGTGGCTGAAGTGATAGAGCGCTAGCCTTGACATGAAGAGCTGAGGGACAGCGCCCAGACCCAGAGTTCAGGCCCCATAACAACAACAATAACAAAAAGTCCTTAATGTTAACACAATTAACTAGTCAATGCCTATTCCCAAATTATGTCTTCAAGAATCTTCACTCCCCGATAAGCAAAGTAGGTATGGTTACTGGTGGGGCCACAAAGGTTGACAGAAGTTGAGGCACTGACCATTGACCACAGCTGACCAAGGAGAAGAACTCCTAGTCCAGCACTCTATCCTGAGCTCCCAACTTACCCACAGGAAATGTGTGCATCCAGCGCCTTCTGTTAGATGTGAGCTTCATGGGCATTCGTGAGGGGGCAAAGGGGTTAATCAGTGCTCGCTGGGGTGTGTAAAGACCAGGTCGGACATGAAGCATGGACTCTGCACTGCCCACGTGGAACCTCCCTGGTGCACTGGAGTCGCGCTGCGGTGGCTCCATCATGTTCTCTAGGACATCTGCCAAGTAAGCATGGAGTTGAGGCATAAAGACAAAGCACAAAGCTACAAGGAAATCAGAACCAGGCAGACTGGTAGGCCGACAAGAATTGTTGGATATTATAAATACAAGCAAGTGAGAAATAGGTGAAAATGTCAAGACATTAAAAAAAGTGAAATATGTTTACTTTTGAAAGATTCCAGAGAGAAGGATTATGATTCCTAAATACCTGGCCCAATGAAGCCAGACCCAAACCTGATGGGGAGAGACAAGTATCTGAACTAGATCCAATGACTCCATCAGGGGACTTAAGTTGTGGCCTTGGGGATGGAGTGAGTACATTCTCTATATGAGAGGAACAAAAAATAAATAAACAGGTGGATCATACCTGTAATCCTAACTACTCAAGTGGCTAATTTCTTAGGATCATCGTTCAAAGCCAGCCCAGAGGAAAAGTCCCTAAGACTGTTTTTTTGTTTTTTCCTGGTCATGGGGCTTGAACTCTGGGCCTGGGTGCTATCCCTCAGCTCTTCAGCTCAAGGCTAGCACTCTACCACTTGAGCCACAGCACCACTTCCAGCTTTTTCTGTTTATGTGTTGCTGAGGAATCAAACCCAGGGACTGATGCATGTGAGGCAAGTACCCTACCCACTGAGCCACCTTCCCAGCCCTCCTAAGACTCTTATCTCCAATTAACCACATACACACACACACACACACACACACACACACACACACACGCACGCACACAGAGAAAGAAAGAAAAAGAAAAGAAAGAAAAGAAACAGAAGTGACTATGGCTCAAATGGTAAATTGGCAGCCTTGAGGGAAAAAAAGGTAAGGGACAGCACTTATCCCAAATTCAGGTCCCAGTACCGGTAAAACAAACAAAACTATAAAAGACTACAGTTTTTGACCAGGCAAGATTAAAAATAAAAAGCAAAAGAGCCAAGCAAGGGCTGGGAAGATAGCTCGGTGGTAGAGTGCTTGCCTTGTATGCATGAGGCCCTGAATTCAATTCCTCAGTACCACATAAGCAGAAAAAACCAGAAGTGGCGCTGTGGCTCAAGTGGTAGAGCACTAGCCCTGAGCTGAAGAGCTGAGGAACAGCACCCAGGCCCAGAGTTCAGGCCCCACAACCAACAGCAACAACAACAAAAATAAAAAAAGAGCTGGGCACCAGTGGCTCACGCCTATAATACTAACTACTCAGGAGGCTGAGATCCGAGGTTCGTGGTTCAAAGCCAACCTGGGCAGGAAAAGTCTGACTCTTATCTCCAATAAACCACTCAGAAAACCAGAAATGGTGCTGTGGCTCAAGTGGTAGAGTGCTAGCCTTGAGCTGAAGGGACAGAGCCCAGGCCCAGAGTTCAAGCCTCATGACCAACAACAACAACAAAAAAGTTTCACAGAGCCAGGTGTTAGTGGCTCATGTCTGTAATCCTAGCTACTCAGGAAGCTGAGATCTGAGGATCACGGTTCAAAGCCAGCCTGGGCAGAAACATCCATGAGACTCTGATCTCCAATAAACCACTAGAAAACTGGAAGTGGCACTATGGCTCAAGAGGTAGAGCACTCGCCTTGAACTGAAGAGCGCAGGGACAGCGCCCAGGCCCCTAATTCAAGCCCTGTAACCAACAACAACAACAATAATAAAAAAAAACTATTTTACATCATCTCTAGATGACTTATATATCTAACACAATGTGAGCAGCTGTCATGCTGTATTGTTTAGAGAATAATGGCAGGGAAAGCAATTTGTACATTTTCAATAGAGGCATAGGTTTTTTTCTAATACTTCAATCCACAGTTGGTTGAATCCATGAGTGCAAAAAGAGTGATATGGAGTCCACTGCACAGGACACAGACTGTTTTAAGTGTGGCACAAATAAAAATGAAGAGGAGATAAGCACACCCTTTTGTGCCTAGCTCTAAGAAAAACTCTTCATTAACATAAGGAAAGATATATAGTTACAGTGATAGAGTGAAAGGTTAGAGACAAAATGGTATGGTTTACATATACCCAACATCTAATGTGATTACTATTCATTGCACAGGCATGAAAATCACTCAGAAATGGGACTCATACCCCACCCAGACCACTTCCTGTCACTCCCATGCCCCACCATAGCAAGTAAACTGTCCCCAAATCTGCCCTGATCTGGCTGTGCACTCTGACCTCGGGTGCTGGTGTAGCCCAAGGAGCTGCTGACTTCATACTGGTGCAGGTGAGGATGTGGAATCATCAAGATGTTGGCACTCTTGCCTAGGGAGCTGTCATCAGAAGCCTGACTCCTCACTTCCTCTGTGGGCATTGCACGACTCTGCAGGGAAGGGCTAGATGAGACGTCACAGGAGCTGATGCTTTTCCGGTGATGATTCTCTCGCTCCCGCACAGACCTGCCAGGCAGGAGACAAATTACCGCTTAATAAGGGATGTTGTCTTACCTTGAACTAAAACTCCAAAACCCACCACCAGCGCAAGTGACTTAGGAAACCAGTAACAAAAACTCCAATATGATATATCAGTGAGAAATACAAGATACTAGGCCTTGGCCAGCTTAAGATATCATGTAAGGGGGGGTGGAGAGGAAGGGGTGGAGAAAAGAATAGAGGGGAAAGGGAAAACAAGCTAGTTCTCTACTAACCACAGTTCTAGGATCATAGTGTAAAGAAATGATTGCTCCCCAGGTGCTGGTTGCTCAAGTCTATGATCCTAGTTACTCAGGAGGCAGAGAACTAAGAACTGTGGTTTAAAGCCAGCCTGGGCAGCAAAGCCTGAGAAATGCTTTTTGCTGTTGGTGGTGGTCATGGGGCTTGAACTCTGGGCCTGGGCGCTGTCCCTCAGCTCTTCAGCTCAAGGCTAGTGCTCTACCACTTGAGCTACAGCCCCACTTCCGGTTTTCTGGTAGTTAATTGGAGATAAGAGTCTCACAGACTTCCCTTCCTGGGCTGGCTTTGAACAGAGATCCTCATATCTCAGCCTCATGAGTAGCTAGGATTACAGGTGTGAGCTACCAGAGCCAGGCCTTGTGAGACTCTTATCTCCATTTAACCACCAAAAAAAGCCAGAGGTAGAGCTGTGGTTCAATGATAGAGTGTCAACCTTAAGCATAAAAGCTCATAGACGTACCCAGGCTCTGATTTCAAGCCTCAGGACTAGCACCAAAGAAAAGAAAAGAAATAAAGAAGTGATTGCTCCAGTCTGAGTTTACAGCTCAATCTCGTTTCACTGAAAATGGGATAAGGAGACATCATAGGATGCAAGAGAAAGTACACAGGAGTCTACTTGCCCCCAAATTGGAAACAAATTTTAATCAATCCTCTAGTGATAACAACCAGTTTATAGAAAATCCAGGAAACATTACAGGAAGCAATCAGGAAGAAATGTGAAATAGACTGTCATTAGAAACAAAGAGAAGATAACCAAATATGATGTGTAGATCTTCTTTAGATCCCAACTCAAGCCAACTGCTAAAACATTTGTGAAACACTTGAGAAATCTGAGCGTGGACTCACTATTAGAAGACATTAGGTCATTAGTCTTAATGTTGTTTTAAGTGATAATAGCACTGTGATCATTTGTTTTCTTTTCCTTCCTTTTTCTGCTCTGTGTGTGTGTACATGCATACTAAGTATTGAACTCAAGAGTCCTGCACACACTAGGCAAACGCTCTTTTAGATTCTTATTCAAAAATCAGTCACCAGTGGCTCATGTCTATAATCCTAGCTACTCAGGAGGCAGAAAACTGAGGATCATGGTTCAAAGCCAGCTTGGGCAGTAAAGTCTGTGAGACTCTTATCTCCAATTAATGACAGAAAAAGCTAGAAGTGACACTATGGCCCAAGTGGTAGAGCGCTAGCCTTGAAAAAAAAGAGTCTAGGACAGCGCTCAGGCCCAGAGTTCAAGCCCCAGGATTGGCAAAAAAAGAAATTCTTATTCAAACTGGGAACCATGGTATGTACCTATGTTCCTAGTTTTTTGTTTTTGGGGTTTTTTTTTGGGGGGGGGGATGGTGTTTGTTTTTTTTCTAACAAAAAGGACTCCTTGAACCCATGACTTTGAGGCTGGCCTAGACAATATCATAGAACCTCATCTTGGGCCTGGGAAGGTGGCTCAGTGATAGAGTACATGCCTTGCATGCATGAGGCCCTGGGTTCAATTCCTCAGTACCACATAAATAGAAAAAGCTGGAAGTGGCGCTGTGGCTCCAGTGGTAGAGTACTACCCTTGAGGTGAAGAGCTGAGGGACAATGCCCAGTCCAGAGTTCAGACCCCACGACTGACCAAAAAATTAAAATTTAAAAAAAAAAAAAAACCTCATCTTGGGGGGAAAAAAAATAAAAACAGAAATGTTTACTGAAAGCCAGGCACCAGTGGCTCAGTTCTGTAATTCTAGCCAGGAGGCTAAGATCTGAGGATTGCAGTTCAAAGCCAGCCTGGGTAGGAAAGTCCATGAGACTCTTATCTCCAATTAATCATCAGAAAAATGGAAGTGACACTGTGGCTCAAGTGGTAGAGCACTAGACTTGAGCTGAAGAGCTGAAGTATAGTACCCAGGCCCAGAGTTCAAGCCCCACACCAACAACAACAACAAAAAAGATACCCATGATCTACTTGAAAATTCTCCAGCCAAAATTTAAAATGTAGAAGTGATGAGGCAACACTGGCAACATGATGATAACTGGGACATTAGTCAATTTAAGTATGACTTATCTGAAGTAGAATAGACTGAAGTAGAAAGTTCAAATAGTATAATTCTTTAAAAATGACTAAGTCAAAGCCCAGCAAAATAAGTACCAGGAATTGGGCACTTGTTTGAAATTTTTTATGTTTCAAAAACAATACTCTTATTAAAACCACAAAACTCAGCCAGGTGGGCTGGGAAAGTGGCTCAGTGGTAGAGCGCTTGCCTTGCATGCCTGAGGCCCTGGGTTCGATTCCTCAGCACCACATAAGCAGAAAATAAAAAAGCCAGAAGTGGTGCTATGGCTCAAGTGGTAGAGTGCTAGCCTTGAGCTGAAGAGCTGAGGGACAGTGCCCAGACCCAGAGTTCAGGCCCCACAACCGGACCAAAAAAAAAAAGAAAAAGAAAACTCAGCCAGGTGTTGGTAGCTTACTGCTATAATCCTAGCTACTGAGATCTGAGGATTGTTACAGTTTGAAGCTGCGTGGACAGGAAAGTCTGTGAGACTCGTATTTCCAACTGCCACCAAAAAGCTAGAAGTGGAGGTGTTGATCAAATAGTAGAATACTATCCTTGAACACAAAAGCTCAGTGGCAGCACCCAGGACCTGACTTCAAGCCCCAGGACCGGCACACACACAAAAATTTCCCTAAGAGTAAAATCTGAAAAATATAGTAGGAAGGTAAAAACCTCAGAATGAAAAGGTTAGACTATCAGGAGGACTGCTCTTCTGGCATTATAGATGTTTCTTTCCTTCTGGAAGGATTTTATCAAGTCAGAAAATAAAGAGAGCCAGAAAACAAATCTCAAGTGGTGACTATATGTTCTTTACTTCAACATAACTTACTTCAACAGCAAATATTTGGGCACCCACATACACGCTTAGCCATGAGCAAGAAATAGAGATGTTCTGAGTAGGCAGGCATGGTCTGAAGCAGGAGGATCACTTGACCCCAGGAGTTTGCAAACTGCAACATAGTAAGAGTTCCCATCTCAAAAAAGTCTTTAAATTGGGCTGGAAATATAGCTTAGTAGTAGAGCCTCTGTCTACCATGCCCAAGGCCCTGAGTTCAATCTTGAGTACCATAAAATCGAATAAAGATTCAGAAGAAAAGTGTCTAAATAGCTACTACTGAGCTCAATAAGTAGCACCTATGTGTAATGGAGCTGTTTTTAACAAACTTGTTCTAGGCTCTAAACATTCTTTCTGTTGGTGGTGGTGGTGGTGGTCGTGGGACTTGAACTCAGGGCCTTGGTGCTGTTCCTGAGCTTTTTGCTCAAGGCTACTGTTCTGCCACTTTGAGCCACAGCTCCACTCCCCCAGTTTTTTGGCGGTTAATTGGAGATAGGAGGCTCACAGACTTTCCTGCCCAGGCAGGCTTTGAACCTCAATCCTTAGACCTTAGCTTCCTGAGTAGCTAGGATTATAGGCATAAGCACCAGCGCCTGGCAAGCCACCAGCGCCCAGCATATTCTTTTGATGAAATATTAGGACTAGATGAGGGAAAAGGACAGGAAGCAATCAATATAACCTCATTTGCTACATAAGCAAAAGATAGGCAGGAGGCATGGTTCCTCAGTACAATACCTGCCTAGCAATTAAACTTCAGTATTGCCAAAAACAAATTGAAAAAAAAAAAAGAAGAAAGAAAAAGACATTATTGTTTTAGTCAGCAATCCTCAAACTTGTAGACTAAGGAAATGGAAACTGGAAAATGGACTCTAAATATCTGATCAACTGAGAAAAAAATAAACTAAAATCCTATTTCACATGTTCATAAAGAAGAATTTCTACATAAATAACTGAAAATAAAATCCAAGACTATCAGCCAAGTATGGTGGCTCATATTCTCTAATGCCAGTGGTTAGGAGACTGAGGTAAGAGAATTACAAGTTAAAGGATAGCCTGGAACTCTCTCAAAAAAGTAAGGGCTAAAGCTGGGAATGTGGCTTAGTGGTAGAATGCTTGACTAACATTCATGTTGCCCTGGGTTCGATTCCTCAGATTCCACATAAACAGAAAAGGCACTGTGGCTCAAGTGGTAGAGTGCTAGCCTTAAAAAAGCTAAGGGACAGTGCCTAGGCTCTGAGTTCAAGCCTCAGGACTAGCACCAAAAAAAAAAGTAAGGGCCTAGGATATTGCTCCAGTGGTAGACTGCCTACCAACCAAGTATATGGTCCCGAGTCCAAAGCCCACACTATAAAAAAAAAAGCAAGCATCTAAAACTATCATGAATATGAAGAAAATACAAAACACATGTCTAGAATTTGGGGTAGAAGACAGTGAGGGTTTTCTTAATACAAGATCAAGAAGTTAATAGGTTGTTAAATATAACAATCACAATTAAAAACTGCTATATAAACCAACACAGAACAACAAAAAAATGTGTCAGTACTAGGGCTTGAACTTGAGGCCTGGAAACTGTCCCTGATCTCTTTTGCAGAAGGCTAGTGCTCTACCACTTGAACCATGGCTCCACTCCTGGCATTTTTGGTGATAAGAGTCTCACAGATTTTTTTCTGTCCAGGCTGGCTTTGAACCTTAATCCTCAAATCTCAGCCTCCTGAGTAGCTAGGATTATAGGCATGAACACACCTGGCAATAGAACAAATTTTAAAAGTATAACTTAAAGGAGGAATAGTTCTTGCCTTCTGGGAATAACAAAACTAATAGAAACTCTGAACCTAGGGATTTGTATTATTGCCAGCCCAACGAGAGGAAAATTCTGGAATTTGTGATTTGTTCCTGCTGGCTTAAGGAAGTCTGACCTTTTTTTTTTTGTCAGTCGTGGGGCTTGAACTCTGGGCCTGGACGCTGTCCCTCAGCTCTTCAGCTCAAGGCGAGCACTCTACCTCTCTACCTCTTGAGCTACAGCGCCACTTCCAGTTTTCTGGTGGTTTATTGGAGATAGGAGTCTCACGTTCTGTCCTGCCCGGGCTGGCTTTGAACCGCGATCCTCAGATCTCAGCCTCCTGAGTAGCTAGGATTATAGGCGTGAGCCACCAGCAAGTCTGACCTTCTTACTTCAAGATGAAACTTCAAACAAAGAGGGTAGACCAAACAGCTGGATAACAGGATCCATAATGATACGGCCTTCCTTCTGCTTGGCTAGTGTTAAACAGATTTTTCATGGTTGCTCTCATAAAGGTCCCTAGTGAATGAACCTCAAGTTTTACTAAGTAATTTATACATGCGTCCCCAAGTGAATCTGGCAAAACACCTGCAGGTGGTGAGGCGCTGAGCACGGGATGGGCCAGGAAGCCTGAACACTTGAGCATCATAGGCTTCATAATCTACTTGGATGGGAAGGGCGTTATCAGATTCTTTCGGAGTCCCAAGAGCTGAAATACACAAAGAATACAATTTGTCATCCCAACACATTTCAGATAAAGGCTTGTAGAGAGTCTTCATCAAATCTCCAAGGCATAGTGGAAAAAATGGGATAATAACTCATTCATCACTTTGTTGAAGCTAAATGACTTAAATGTCAAAGTGACATAAAAACAGCAGTAAATCAAAGTGTTAACAGCATCTCATTCTTCTGTGATCCCTCTTGAAAAGCATTATTTTAAAGGCTTAATGATTTAAAACTACCTGATCCCTACAATTGACCTATGGAAAAGAAAAACCACAAGTTTTATCATCATTTACAATGCAGCTGACAGGATAAAAATACAAGGTGAAAAAAAACACAATGTGACTTTGGAATCTTCTATGGGTGTCACAGAGGAAACTTAGGTCTCTTGACTTTTCTGTCAGCCTTTTTAAATGACTACATAATTTTGTCTTGTGTAAGCTGACTCTAAAAGTGATAAATCTCAAAAAAATACTCACATGTATCACGGCCATTTTTTGCTTTCTCAGAGGCAGGCTACAAAATTAAATAGATATTTAATCACTCCTTTGCTGCAAGAGAACATAACACAATATACAGTATATATTTGGTAATTCCTGGCAGAGACTATTTCATGGACCTGGTAGTACATGTTTGCAATCCCAGCTATCTGAGAGGCTAAAATCAGGAAGATTGTGGTTTGAGGCCAGCTCAGATAAAAAGTTAGAAAGAGTTCATCTCAAAAAATAGACTAGGTTGTAAGCCTTGTCTATTCAGGCTACTAGAAAGGCACAGATAGGAGAATCACAGTCCAAGACCAGACCAGCCAAACACATGAACCTCTACCAGAAAAATAACTAAAGCAGAAATGGGTGGGGTTGTGGTTCAATTGGTAGAGCACCTGCCTTGCATGTGCAAGGCTTTGAGTTCAATTTCAATGCCAAACAACAACAATAAAAAATTTTTTGGTGCTGGTCCTGGGGCTTGAACTCAGGGCCTGGGTGCTGTTCCTGAGTTTTTATAAGTACCCAAGGCTAGTGCTCTACCACTTGGGCCACAGCTCCACTTCCATTGGAGATAGGAGTTGCATCAACTTTCCTGCACAAGCTAGCTTCGAACCTTGATTCTCAGATCTCAGCTTCCTGACTAGCTAGGATTACAGGCATGAGTCACCAGTGCCTATTTGTTTTGGTTTTATGGCACTGGAGATTAAACCCAGGGCTAGCAAATGCTCTACCACTAAGACCCGGCTTTGGAATAGATTTATCTAACCACAAAGCTATAAAGTTCTAAGACAATTTTTATTTTATTTTTTTTGGGTCCGGTCGTGGGGCCTGAACTCTGGGCCTGGGCGCTGTCCCTCAGCTCTTCAGCTCAAGGCTAGCGCTCTACCACTTGAGCCTCAGTGCCACTTCCGGCTTTTTTCTTTTTTGCTTATGTGGTGCTGAGGAATCGAACCCAGGGCCTCAGGCATGCAAGGCAAGCACTCTACCACTGAGCCACCTTCCCAGCCCTCTAAGACAAATTTTTTAAACCTATTTACAACCCTGTAAGGCAATGAGAGATCTATCTATAGCACATCCATTTATAACAGGCCCTGAGTTTCTATGAGTCGGTGAAACCTACCTTCTTTCCTGCCAGTTTTATTCGCGGGGTGAAACTGTTACAAAAGAGCTGGCTTTTTGATGTGTAGAAACTGTAAAAACAAACAAACAAATAAAGTGGATCAGTTACAAGCCCAGGCACGAGCTGCCCTCCTTTGCTTGGCTTTGTTTCAGGGCTTTACCTGCCTTCCCAGTTCTAACTTCTTTTGTAATTACTACAAAGCAAATTCCTCACTGGATCTCTAGCCTTAACAGGGATTAAAGCTATCGACACAGTTGGGTGCTAGTGACTGACACCTGTAATCCTAGCTATTCCGGAGGCTGAGATCTGAAGATCTCAGTTAGCAGCCATCCTCTGCAGACAAATCACAAACTGCCTATCTCCAATTAACCAGTAAAAAGCTAGAAGTGTAAACGAGGCTCAAGTCATAGAGCACCAGCCCTTAACAAAAAAGCTAAGCAAGAGCAAACGGCCCTAAGTTCCAGCCCCAGTACTGACATGGAAAGAAAAGAAATGAAAAAAAAAAAAAAAAAGCAAAGAAAAATGCAGTGTTAATTCAGGAACTCTTCAAATTACTAAAAAGTAACTTTTTGAAAAACTGCAAAACTTTCATCTATGTTTTGTTATTTTTTTGGGGGGGTGGTCAGTCATAGAGCTTGAACTCAGGGCCTAAGCACTGTCCATGAGCTCTTGCTCAAGGCTAGCACTCTAACACTGAGCTACAGCTCCAATTCTGTATTTTTTTTTTAGTTTTATAGTTCTTTTTAATCTTATTTTAACTTACTTAACTCAAAGCTATGAAACAGCAATGTATAACTAAGCAGCAGCTATTTTATTAACATGAGTTTGAGTGTTATTAAAAAGCCACAAATCCAGCCAGGCGCCAACGGCTCACACCTGTAATCCTAGCTACTCAGGAAGCTGAGATCTGAGGATCTCGGTTCAAAGCCAGCCTGGGGAAGGAAAGTCCGTGAGACTTTTATCTCCAATAAACCAATAGAAAACCAGAAGTGTCCCTGTGGCTCAAGTGGTAGAGCACTTGCCTTGAGGGATAGCGCCCAAGCCCAGAGTTCAAAATCCACAACCAACAAAATAAATAAATAAATAGCCACAAATCCAAATCAGATACAGGTAGCTCACGCCTGTAATCCTAGCTACTCAGGAGGCAGAGATCTGAGGATCGAGTTCAAGAGCAGCCCAGACAGGAAAGTCTGTGAGACTCTTATCTCCAATAAACCACCAGAAAATCGGAAATGGTGCTGTGACTCAAGTAGTAGAGCACTAGCCTTGAGCTGAAGAGCTGAGGGGACAGTGCCCAAGCAGAGTTCCACAACCAAAAAAAAAAAAGCCACAAATCGAAAATAACCTGACAGAAAAAAAGGGAGGTTACACTGATTTCTGAAATTAGTGAATAAAAAAAGGTTTTGTTTTTTAATTCCTACTTTATGGTCAAAGTAGTTTATTAGCATATATAAATATAAGAACAGTAAAAGCTGCTGATATCGTTTTAAGGGAGAGTCGGATCAGGATGAGTAGGGGAAGTTGAGATCGGTGGGGTACATTGTACAGGTGTGGAAATGTCACAATGAAACCTCTCCTATACAACTAATGTATGCTAGTAAGACACATATTCCTGTTTTACATAAACCAATCCGCTATACTAACAGTAACATAAACACAAGATAAGGATATGAGACATCTTGTTATGAGACATCTTGTCACTTTTTTGAAAATACCTTCATCAAGGCAAGCCAGCATTGAAAGTATGATTTTAAGCTAGGTAAGGTGGCACAAAACTGTAATCTCATTTATCACTGAGAGCCTGAGTTAGGAGAATTACCACTTTGAGATCAGCCTGCACATGGCAGCTCAAGCCTATAATTCTAGTTACTTAAGAGTTCTAAATTGGGAATTCAAGACCAGTCTAGGCATAAGAGTTCACAAGATTCCATCTCAAAATGGTGCTTGTATGTTACCCCGGGGAAAGCACATCGGCTGGGCAAAGTGGACACACCTGTCATCCCCAGAAACACAGGAAAGCACAAGTATATGTATGCCCAGGCCAACCTGAGTATAAAGCTGAGAACTTACCTGGAAAATAACCAATGCAAAAAGAACTAGAGGTATTGCTCAATTGGTTGAGCTCTTGACTAACAAGCTCAGAGCCTTGAGTTCAAAACTCAGCACTGCCAATCAATCAATACAATTTTATTTTTGGGGGGGGTCCGGTCGTGGGGCCTGAACTCTGGGGCTGGGCGCTGTCCCTCAGCTCTTCAGCTCACGCTAGCGGTTTACCACTTGAGTCACAGCACCACTTCCGGCTTTTTTCTTTTTGCTTATGTGGTGCCGAACCCAGGGCCTCAGGCATGCAAGACAAGCGCTCTACCACTGAGCCACCTTCCCAGCCCTACAATTTTTTTTTTTTTGGGTCCAGTCGTGGGGCCTGAACTCTGGGCCTGGGTGCTGTCCCTCAGCTCTTCAGCTCAAGGCTAGCGCTCTACCACTTGAGCCACAGCGCCACTTCCGGCTTTTTTCTTTTTGCTTATATGGTGCTGAGGAATCGAACCCAGGGCCTCAGGCTTGCAAGGCAAGCGCTCTACCACTGAGCCACCTTCCCAGCCCCCTACAATTTTTTTTAATTGGTAATTTTACAGGTGACTAGCCAGACAATATTTCACTTCCTCCTAGAGAAAAGAGGAACATACTTATAACAGGAAAATTACAATGTGACACACCATCTTTACAGGGCTGAACAAATAACTACTCTCTGCTCATTTCCTTGTTGTTCGCTTGTGAATCATTACAGGTGATTAGAGCAACTGCTACACTGATGGCAAGATAGGCTATAATAATGATAATGGATATATGTTATAAAGCTAAAACTAACATTTATGATGAGGTTTCAAGCTTGTCTCCAGGAAAGATCTGCAACTAAATAAAAGCAAAATTGAAGGTTCTGTTAGGCTTGAGGCATAAGCAAAGTGGTCTATAACAAACAACACAGAAAAAGAACAGAATGTGCTGGACATACTGAAAAGAAAGCAGCTATTGGCCATCAGGAAGGGGTCACGGAGAGCGGAGGTTGGAGTTGGGCTTTGGCAGATACATAGGCATACATGGAAAGGGCCTCTTAGTAGAAAGGATAGAAATGAGGATTGGAAGTGGGTGTTTGTCATGCACAAAGAGAGAGGAACAGTGATGGGAGAGAGGCTGCAAATGTCAACCTGGCATGAGGAATCAAAGAGAAAAGATAGTAAGGTTTTATTACACAAAAAAAAGTGACTTTGGCATCTGTTGTCCTAGCTACTCAGGAGACTGAGATCTGAGGAACTCAGGTTCAAAGCCAACCTGGGCAGGAAAGTTCTTGTCTCTCTCTCTCTCTTTTTTTTTTTTTGCTGGTCCTAGAGCTTGAACTCAGGGCTTGGGCTCTGACCCTGAGCCTCTCTGTGCTCAAGGTTAGAGCTCTGACACTTGAGCCACAGCGCCACTTCCACCTTTTTCAGTTTATGTGGTACTGAGGAATCGAACCCAGGGCTTCATACATGCCAGGCAAGCACTCTACCACTAAGCCACATTCCCAGCCAGTCCTTGACTCTTATCTTCAATTAATTACCAAAAAAGCCAGAAGTGGAGCTGTGGCTCAAAGTCATGGAGTGCTAAGCTTGAGCAAAAAAAAGCTCAGGGACAGCACTGAGGTGTGAGTTCAAGCCCCAATACTGGCACCAAAAAAAAAAAAAAAAAAGATTGCACCTACCTGTGGTTTATCCAGTGAGGAATATTATAGTCATCACCCAGGCGAGAATCCCGAGGAATGCTCCGATTGTGTAACTGCAAAGGAAAAGACCAGGGCACAGGTAAGCTAATAAACATGGGGGATGGGGAACTGCTCCAAGCTCTCTATTCTTAACTATTCCCCAAATGGTCTTTAGGAAGGGAATCCAAAATTAATTACCTTGAACAATGGGACAGCATGTAATGGTTGTTCTCCCATACATACCAAATCTACACCAATCCCTAAGAAAGAAAAAACAGAGTTGGGAGGAGCAGCATAGCCAAGTGACCCACTCTATTAATGATGTTAGTGATAGTTGCAGAGGCAAATTCACCATCTTACAATTCAAAACCTCATCAATGATACCTATGCAGCAAAGAAGTAGGTATATTTTGTCTGCTTCTTCTCATACTTGTTACTATTTGGTGAGTGATAATTACTGAGTGCTCCGAAAGTCATGATTTGTGAGCAAAGCCAACCACGCCATTACTATGTAAATTTCTAGGGCAAAGAAATAACAGAAACCTTGTAATAGCCTCAAAAATAAGTAAAACAAAAGAGGGAGCTGGTTACTGACACTTATAATCCTAGCTACTCAGGAGGCTGAGATCTGAGGATTGGAGTTCCAAACTAGCCTGGGCAGAAACAGCCTGTGAGATTCTTTTCTCCAATTAACTCCAAAAAAAAGCAGAACGTAAAGCTATAGTTCAAGTGTTAAAATACCAGTCTTGAATGAAAATGCTAAAAGACAGTGCCCAGGCATTGAGTTCAAGGCCCAGGACCAGCAAAAAAAAACCAAAACATATTATGGAACCATAGATGACCAAACATTTCTCAAGCAAGATGCTCTTTTTGTCACGTGATTTCTTTCTATTGACACCCCAGACCTCATGACACAATGAGCACCTTGTGGAACTCCCAAGGAAAGCTTAGCCATCTTAGGGAAAGTCAGACTATGACATATGAGAAAGGCACAAGCCAGAGAGTGTTACCATTATCTATCATCCGCTGCTTGGTCAAGATCATAAGTAGGCGGTCCACTTCAAAGACACCCACTCCCGGTGTGATCACCACAGACATCTGCCCAGTTCGGTCGAAGTTACGGTTGATGTAATGCTTGTCAAACACTTGAAACAAAACAAAAATTCCCAATGATGAGATTACAGCTTTTTGCCAGTGACTGGCAAGCATTTTATGCATATGTCAGTCATAACAATCTCTACTGGCCTGCGTTCGACCTAGTCATATTCACATCTGTCTTTCCTCTTCTGCATTAACAACTCCTTGAACACAGGACTAAACTCCTCTTATCACTGTCAATCCTCCTCATTGACTTACTTTGTGCGACTTAAATGGTCAAATTTAATTCATTTATTAATGAATCTGTGGTGAAACATTAACCTACGATAATAATTTCAGAGCATAGACCAGGAAGTTAGGATAATTTCAGGAATTTTGTAAGTTAATTTTATTTCTGGTCTCTCCAACTCATACTATAGGAAATTTGTGATAAGAAAATATGACAGCTGGGCGCCAGTGGTTCACACCTGTAATGCTAGCTAATCAGGAGGCTGAGACCTGAGGATCGAGGTTCAAAGCCAGTCTAAGCAGTGAGTCCCTATGAGCCTCATATCTCCAATTAACCACTCTAAAACTGAAAGTGATGCTGTGGTTCAGGTGGTAGAGCACTAGCCTTGAGCACAAAGAGGCACAAGGCCAGTGCCCAGACCCTGAGTTCAAGCTCCACAATGGACAAAATAAATAAATGAATAATAAACTATGACAAAAGATTTAATACTACATTACATCATGCTCTAATACTCCCCCAGAACCTAGATACAGGGACACATGGGAAGGTGATATACACAGTAAAGTAAAAATACAGTGTCACTGCCTATCAGATTCTTTCCACTGGAAAGTAAAATTCTGAACAGAGGTAGGATTGCTGGGTGCTGAGTGACTCCAGGAATTCCTGCTGCTCAGCTTCTCAGAGCTACCAAGATGTCTACCTTCTCCAACAAGGCATATAAGCCTTTCCTAGCTACCACACCATGCCCTTGCAACTTTCCTTAACTCTCCCTTTCTGTTTAAACTGAGTAGGTTTTTCTTGTGGCAAATAATAGCTATGTCAGATACCACCTAAATGCAGACAAATCTTAGGAAGACATCACTCCAAATTGTTAATAATTGGCTTCACCTAGAATCCTTAGCTAGTCAGGAGGCTAAGACCTGAGAATCAAAGCTTGAAGCCAGCCCAGGCAGGAAAGTCCATGAGACTCTTATCTCCAATAAACTATGAAAGGCAAGAAAGAAAGAAGGAAGAAAGGAAAGAGGGAAGGAGGGAGGGAGGGAGGAAGGGAAAGAGGGAGGAAAGGAAGGAAGGAAGCAAGCAAGCAAGTAGTGGAGCTGTGATTAAAGTGGTAGAACACTACACTTGACCTCAAAAGCTCAGGGACATCACTAAGGCCCTACCTAGGTTCAAGCTCCAGGATTGGTACACACAAACAAAAATCACTCAATAATAACTGGCTCTTCTTAGGAAAGGACTAAGGAGATGGGGATGGGGAGGCTATTAAACATACCTTTCTACACTTGAACTCTAGCAACTTGTAACTTAAAAAAAAATAGACTTTTGGGCTGGGAATGTGGCTTAGTGGTAAAGTACTTGCCTAGTATGCATGATGCCCTGGGTTCAAGTCCTTAGTACCACATACACAGAAAAAGCCAGAAGTAGAGTGTTAGCCTTGAGCAAAAGAAGCTCAGGGACAGTGCACCCAGGACCTGAGTTCAAGCCCCAAAACTGGCAAAAAAAAAATTGGGGGGGGGTGGGCACTGGTGGCTCAAATTTGTAATCCTAGCTATTTGAGAGGTTGAAATCAGCCAACCCAGGCATACACACAAGACTCCTCAACCCAAAGCTGAGTGCAAGTAGGCATAGTAGACACAATGGGAAGCCTAAAATATGTGGACTATGATCCAGGTATGGACCCAGGGGGTAGAAAAAAAAAAGGCTCTAGCCAGGTGCTGGTGGCTCACACCTGTAATTCTAGCTACTCAGGAGGCTGAGATCTGAGGATCTCAGTTCAAAGCCAGCCTGGGCAGAAACATCCGTGAGACTCTGATCTCCAATAAACCACAAGAAAATGGGAAATGGTGCTGTGGCTCAAGTGGTACAACACTAGCTTTGAGCTGAAGAGCTGAAGGGACAGCGCCCAGGCCCAGAGTTCAAGCCCCACGACTGACAAAAAAAAAAAAAAAAAAAACAAGACTCCATCTCAAAATAACCAGATGGAGCTCAACGGTAGAGTGCCTGCCTAACATGTAGAAGGTCCTGAATTCAAAACCCAACACTGGCAAAACAAAGCGAAAAAACAGAAGAAGAAAAAGTGAGGGCTGGGAAGGTGGCTCAGTGTAGAGAACTTGTCTTGCATGCCTGAGGCCCTGGGTTCGATTCCTCAGCACCACATAAGCAAAAAGAAAAAAGCCAGAAGTGGCGCTGTGGCTCAAGTGGTAGAGTGCTAGCCTTGAGCTGAAGAGCTGAGGGACAGTGCCCAGGCCCAGAGTTCAGGCCCCACGACTGGACCAAAAAAAAAAAAGAAAAAGTGAGGTTAATTTCCCAACAGAAGACCTGTGAGCTAAATGTTGGTCATTAATACCATCCAAACAGAGGCTACTACCCTGAATGAATTTGGGTAGAAGGGAGAGGGGACAGCATCACCTAGATCTGAATCTCTGTATCAGTAATAGGAAGCCCCTAGCCATGTGAAAACTTTGTGATGCTTGCTCACATTGCTTCACTCACCATTAAAGGAAAGGTTGATGGCCTCCAGGTAGTTTCCTTGGGCTGAGGTAGAATTTTCTCCTTGAGGAAAGCCCTCTGAAGCAAAGGTACAAGAAAAGGAAAAGCATTTCATGAAAGGTGAGCTGTAAAATACTAAGGGGAAAGCAGCTGACTCTATAGGACCCACTTCACTTTATATTTTAATTGTTTTATGTTATTCCTGGGGCTAGAACTCATGTCCTGGGCGCTGTCCCTGAGTTTTTGTGCTCAAAGCTAGTGCTCTGCTAATTAAGTCCACTTCTAGTTTTTTGTGGTTAATGATAGAGTCTCCTGGACTTTCCTGCCTAGGATGGCTTCGAACCACAATCCTCAGAACTCAGACTCATGAGTAGCTAGGATTACAGGCGTGAGCCACAGGCACCTGGCTCCCCTTCACTTTTCTTTTTTGGTCGGTCATGGGGCTTGAACTCTGGGCTTGGGTGCTGTCCCTCAGCTCTTCAGCTCAAGGCTAGCACTCTGCCAATTGAGCCACAGCACCACTTTCGGTTTTCTGGTGGTTTAATGGAGGTAAGTCTCACGGACTTTCCTCCCCAGGCTGGCTTTGAACCATGATCCTCAGATCTCAGCCTCCTGAGTAGCTGGGATTATAGGCATGAGCTACCAGCACCAGCTTCCCTTCACTTTTGTTAGGAACACTGCTTAACTTACTGAATACTTAATGAACAGCTGTCTTCACTAGATATAGAAACCTGACCTGAAACAGAAACTACACACAGCAAGGAGACAGAAATGAGCATGAGGGGCTGGGAAGGTGGCTCAGTGGTAGAGCGCTTGCATGCTTGAGGCCCTGGGTTCAATTCCTCAGCACCACATAAGCAAAAAAGAAAAAAGCGGGAAGTGGCGCTGACTCAAGTGGTAGAGTGCTAGCCTTGAGCAGAAGAGCTGAGGGACAGCGCCCAGGCCCAGAGTTCAGGCCCCACGACCAGACCCAAAAAAAAAACAAAAAACAAAAAACAGAAATGCGCATGAATCTCTATTCTGACTCCAGCCTTCATCCTATACGTTCTTTCCCCACTGCACCTTCTATTACCCAGAAGCAGTACCTGCCTGTTCCAGTCGCACCAACACTGGATACTGGATGAAAAGCTTTTTAATGGTCACGAGGAGTGAAGTCCATTCTTCCCTTCTCTCATTCTGCACCACCACTCTGAAAGGAGTTATTATTAGAAAACAGATACTGAGCAGCTCTTATACACACAGCAATAGGTCCCTTATAAGATTTCAAGGTAAGCAAGGTGCCAATGGCTCATGTCTATAAGAGGCTGAGATCTGAGGATTACCGTTTAAAGCCACCCCAGGCAGGAAAGTCCATGAGCCTCTTCTCTCCAATTAACTAGTAAAAAGCTGGAAGGTCCGGAATTCGAGGCCCATTACCAGCATAAAAAGAAAAAAAAAAAAGCATTTTAATAGGTTCAGCAGGGGAGTAGTTAATATGATCAATGAAATTTAGAAGCACAGTTCTTTTTTTTGGGGGGTCTGGTCGTGGCGGCTGAACTCTGGGCCTGGGTGCTGTCCTTCAGCTCTTCAGCTCATGGCTAGCGCTCTACCACTTGAGCCACAGCGCCACTTCCGGCTTTTTTCTTTTTGCTTATGTGGTGCTGAGGAATCAAACCCAGGGCCTCAGGCATGCAAGGCAAGCACTCTACCCCTGAGCCACATCCCCTAGAAGCACAGTTCTATAGAACTATTGGTACAGATTCTTCAACAAGTCAATGATTACACTATGAAAATGAAGAAGAAAACTTTTTTGTTTTACTAAATAGTAGACAAACATGAGTAGTCATGGGGTAGGGGTTAGTAGATAAATCAACGTTAGAATGATTGTCCAGCATGTGCCAAGGCCTTGGGTCACAAAAAAAAACCAAAACAACACTTTAGAAGACTATTAGAGAAATGGGAACACCGCCAGATATTGAATGATATAATAGAACCATTATTAATTTTGTTAAATATGTGGTTATATATGAAAATGCCCTTATATTTTGTTTTTTTTCCCCCACAGGAATAACATGTTAAAATTTCTGATTTACTTTAATATAAAATTTAATCAAAAAGCAGATGAGACAAATATATTAAAACTAAGTGGTAGAGTGCTTGCCTTGCATGCATGAGGCCCTGGGTTCAATTCCTCAGCACCACATAAGCAAAAAGAAAAAAGCCAGAAGTGGTGCTGTGGCTGAAGTGGTAGAGCGCTAGCCTTGTGCTGAAGAACTGAGGGACAGTGCCCAGGCCCAGAGTTCAGGCCCCACTACCAGACCCCCCCCCCAAAATGCTAAATCCAGACATCAGATATGTTAAATTGTTTATTCATTCATTTTCTCTTCTGAATGTTGAAATTTTTTACAATAAAAAATTTACAAGGTCAATATACAATGTGGTCTCCTGGAATTGATACTAGAATATAAAGAGTACGAGGGGAAAAAATAAGTAGTAAGAACTAGAAAAAGCCTGGCACCGGTGGCTCAGGCCTGTAATCCTAGCTACTCAGGAGGCTGAGATCTGAGGATCACACTTCAAAGCCAGTCCACGCAGGAAAGTTCGTGAGACTCTTATCTTCAATAAAAACCACTAGAAAACTGGAAGTGGCGCTGTGGCTCAAGTAGTAGAGCACTAGCCTTGAGCTGAAGAGCCCAGGGACAGCACCCAAGCCCCACCACCAACCAAAAAAAAAAGAACTAGAAAAGTGTGAACTTAGTTAATAGTACTATCTGAATGTTTATGTTCTAGTTTTGGGAAATATTACTTGGCTATGAAATGTTAACACTAGAATAAGTGAAGAAAATATTGGAAGTCTCTTTTCTCTACATACCATGTATGATTTCTCTGTAAATCTAAAATTATTCTAAAAATAAATCTTGTCTTGTTCTGGTTTTGGGGTGCTGTGTTTTGGGTTTGTTTTTTTTTTCTTCTTTTATATGTGTGCTGGTACCAGGGCTTGCTCTATCTTAGCTTATCAGCCCAAGGCTAGCATTCTACCACTTGAGCCACAGCACCACTTCCAGTTTTCTGGTGGTTTATTGGAGATAAGAGTCTCACAAACTTTCCTGCCCAGGATGGGCAGGAAGATCCTCAAGCCGGGCGCTGGTGGCTCAAGCCTGTAATCCTAGCTACTCAGGAGACTGAGATCTGAGGATCATGGTTCAAAGCCAGCCTGAGCAGGAAACTCCATGAGGCTCTTATCTCCAATAAAGCACTAGAAAACCGGAAGTGGCGCTGTGGCTCAAGTGGTAGAGCACTCCCCTTGAGCTGAAAAGCACAGGGACAGCACCCAAGCCCAGAGTTTAAGCCCCACGACAGAAAAAAAAAAAAAAAAAGCTGAGATTGCTCTCTTTCTCTGTTCTTTTCTGCTCTCTCTCTGCTCTCTCTGCCCTTTTCTAGCTCTTTCCTCTCTTTTCCAGCTCTCATTCCCAGGCATTTCCCAGCCACGTGGAATGCCAACCTTGCCTGGTTCCAGCAGGTCTACTGAATAAACCTACCCCTTACCTGAAAAAAAAAACAAAAAAACCTGTGATCCTCAGATCTCAGGCTCCTGAGTAGCTAGAATTACAGGCATGAGCCACTATCTCATGTTTAAATGGAAGTTTTTCTTTTCTTTCTTTTTTTTCCTGGCCATGGGGTTTGAACTCTGGGCCTGGGCACTGTCCCTCAGCTCTTCAGCTCAAGTCTAGCACTCTACCAC